CTTACCGTTGTATATGAACTCTTGCATAACCAAAGATATCCTATCATCATCGTATGATCAGTTCTAATATGGTTTCTTGTGAAGAAAGAATCTTTAAAAATCGAAACAGTTTTTCGGCATTTCTTATTCATGCAACAGAAACGTTTCTTGTCCCGATAAAGCTTCGAATTACACTTCTTACACGTTTCTGGTTTGTACAAGATGCCTTTTTCAAATAAAAATTTTATGCATTCTGTTTCATTCAATAAAATTTCCCGAATTGTTCGAAAAGTTGGAACTGGCGGCATCTTTTAATAGGCTATTTGCAAATGAATCATTTGTTTTATATTAATTATCCGAATTGGAGGCGTAGCAATCTTAAAAATATCAATTATTTTCTCAAAACTAAACCGATTTTAAACGGTTCGGTTTGAAGAACTTATCATGTGTGTTCGATCATTTCTTTTTCTGTAATTCTCTGTCTATTTTGGGACAGGGCTTCGGAAGCAAAACGTGACTGCTGCGTATTTTATCTGGTCTTATTTTTTTCGAAATCACGTTTCTGCAACTTGGGATCAGCATGCATGCGGTAAAAATCGTGTTTGGCGTAGCATAGAGTATTTTATTTGTCGTTGATGAATAAAGGGAGTGAAAATCTTGTAAAATCTGCGGATTTCACACCTTTTATGTCGTACTGCATAAAGTTCAAAATTTACATGTCCAAACTTCCGAAATCATATGACTTTCCTTTTCTGTGAATACCCAAAATTCGGTTGGTCAGTTACCAGTTTATTTCCGAAATACCCGGTAAATCATGTGATGTCAACGTGATTTTTTTAACATGGACAACTTTCCGAAAATATTCACATGATTTTACTACGCATCTTCGTCTGGCCCAATAATTTTTTTTTATTTTTCTCTGAAAAATTCCATCATCTTAGTACCGATTTTACATGTGCTTTCCGATTAAAGACCGATGTCCACTCCCAAATTACATGACCACTGATAATCTGATCGACAGCCTTTTTTATCGAAGTCACATGAATTAGGCGTGATGTGTAAAACGGTTCATTTGCGAAACCGGTTGTTGTAGATCCAGGTCTTTTTTTTTCAGGGTCCGATCGACATAAAAAGTATAAGATAAAGAATCTATTTGATGGTAATGATCTACTATGTATCTCTTCTTTACATATTGTAGTATAATATATAATATATAATACTGCGAAGAGGCGCTAGTAATTATCATTACTTCGCCTCACGCTGAGCATACTACGTATGCTCATTTGATTTTTTGTGCTACGCAATGCTTGGGGTATAGAGCGAGCTTCGCTCGCTCATCAAAAATCAGCTGATAGAGCCCTTTAATATAATTGGCACTTCGCTAAAATATTTTTGCTTCTTTTTCTTGCGCACTCTTGTGTAACATTAATTTTGAATATAATCCAGTTGGTAGATTTTTTCTCTTTACGAAAATAATGTCTTCTCAAAAGCCTGTTCTGGATCTCTACAAGTTTACCAACAATTTTGACAAAAAGTATTTTAAGAAACATAATATAAGCTGTCAACACTTCTCACCTATAAAAGGTTATATAGGTGAGTTGCAAGTGCTTGATACTCTTAACAAACTAGGTGGAATTTTTTTCGCTAGATTTTGTGATAATAAATTCAAAAATGGATGCATTAACATACAAGGATTCTTTAGAAATACATATTTTCTCATACGTGTTAAGTTTTCCGTTTATGAACTAAATGATCCTGATATTATTTTGGATTTTAAAAATGCTATAAACATGTTTGAGAATGTAGTTGGATTTTTTTACTCCCCATCGGGTATTAGTATATCTTGTGAGAATTATCTTGATAAAATCAAGTTCGTTGATTCACTCGAAAAGCTTTCAACAACAATTCAACAATTGTCTTTAGGAATATCCAAGAAAAGGATTATTTTTGAGATATCTAAACAAAAATATATTTCTTATGAAATATCTGCTAAATTAATTCAGATATTAGAACGAAAGAAGTTAATTGTTTATTCTATTCGTTTTGGTTATTCTTTTCCTTTTCATCTTGAAAATAATATTGGTACTGTTGGTTACGTGGGGTTTGATTATGTGGGCACGTATGAATTTCACAACAATATTTATCATGTTGCAATTCGTGATGAGCGAAGAGCTTCCAAAGAAGCCCTGAAGAAGAAACACAAGGAATTTACAAGAGCTATGGATACGTATCTTCCCAGTTACTACTTTGGAGTGCTCTTGATCTCATACAACAGCGATGAAGTTAACCTGAAGCGAACAAACAATATTATTTTCTCAAGATTAGACTTTATCACAATAAAACTTCAGTACATTCTTCGAAAACTGTTAGAATCTAAATAAATTTCTTAACGAAACTAGTTGTAAAATTTTATTTCTTAAATTTATTCAATAAAGCTTACAAAATCTTAAACGTTATCCTATCTATTGTAAAGTTTATTGCGATTGTGTTGGTACCAAATAATAATTTACATGGTCGTTTGTCATGTAAATCTGATCAGTATATGGATTCGAGTAGTAGTAAATCTGGTTGATAGTTGGTGCAATCTCCTCTTCTATGATATTCTCTTTAGGTTCAATCTCTCTAAGCGGTTCTCTAATGTTTGGTACAGACTCGTATCTGAAATCTTTCTCAGTGATCTTTCGATCCTGTTGGTATCTTTCTTTTTCCCTCTGTTTGATCAAACGATATGGGTGTTTCTCTTCATATGTCATCTCTTGCCAAATCTTACCCACAATACTGGAGAGGTTCGTTGCCTTGATTCGTATCCTATGAGCCTTCACCAAACCGTGTATATAAGTTCGAAATACAAAGAACTCGTTCAATCGAGAGTTGTACTTTTTCCCACTCTTGGGTACATACTTGGTACATGGGT